ACCTCTGCTATGACAGTTGTGAATTCAGGGACAGTGGAAACCAGGACCTTTCAGTACACCACCTTCTAAAGGTTGTCCACACCTTTTTGGTGGTCTCTAACTTTTCTTGCAGTCATCTATACCCATAATTCAATTTATTATTGAGGTCAAGGTGTTCAGGGTATAGAAGTAACCATAGAAGGGTATATACTGTAAGTAATTATGAAGTAAACTTTTAGCATAGTTTCAAAGCCACCCTCCCATAGTGTAATGACAGACTTGAAATGACATTTTGCACGCACAAGTTGTTAGAAATTATGGAGGACATCAGAAACCAGCCAGAGTGTTTATAATGCAGGGTTGCATTCTTTTCAGGGCCACAGCAAAGACAAGATAAGGCCACAGACTCTGTAGGAAAAATAAGCACAAGTGGCTAATGTTATAATAACTAAACATTAAAGTGATACTAAAAACACTGTTTCATTTACATTATCCCTTCTCGTTCTGTATATAGACGATGGTACTGTAAATATTTTTTTTTTTATAATTGTATTTTATTGGTATTTCCAAAATTGAACAAGCACCCTCAACAAATGGGTACAGTAGAAGGTAAGATGATATATCACGATAGACAAACGGGCATGAAAACATATGACAAGTATAATAAATGCCAACAGTGATGTAATGAACAAAATTAAGAAAGAAAAGGAGGGAATGGGAAGTACACCATAGACCAAATATAAAAGGCAGGTGACAATAAGAAGGGCTTGACAATTGGAGAGAGAGGCAAAACAGATAGCTGTGGTATCATGATGATCATGTAACGCTAAACTCAAGTTTGCCCCACGGTTCCTATATCTTGGTAAATTGAGATAAGAAATCATTTGTGATTGCAGTAAGACGTTCCTTACTGTGAATAGTAGCTATAGTATGCAGTAATTGTGAGTGGGATGGGGGCATTGGGGACAGCCAGTGTAAAGGTATAATTCGTTTAGCTGCTAAAAGAACATAGGTAGCCAACTTCCTAGCATGTTTGGAGAAACCTTGGAAAGGAAACCCTAGTAAATAATTAACAGGGTCTAAAGGTAATGATTTTGAAGGAGGGATTGAACAGAAACCCAGAAGGGACGTATAACAGGGCAGTCCCAAAATATATGGTGATGAATACCTATAGTAGCATGGCATCTCCAACATAGCTTCAAAAATGATGGGTTATATTTATGAAGAACCTCAGAAGTTTTATACCAGAAAAAGAGTATCTTGTAGGCAGTCTTTCTCTGTGCCAAGCACCTGGGAATTTCGGAAGTAAAATCCCAGAAACCTCTGGACCATAAGGACAAGAGCAATGAGCTGGCAATGTGATGAGATTTATTGTGCCAGATAAAATTGAGGAAGGGCTTTTGAAGGAACTTGAGTTGCTATAATGGGATAGGGACCGGCAGGGTTTCAAATAGACACAGGAGCCCAGGGAGAACAGAGATCTTAAAGTGGAGTTCCACTCACCCTATCAAAAAATAAAAGTCAGCACAAAAACTGTAGCTGCTGACTTTTAAAAAACAGCCACTTACCTGTCCCTCGGTTCCGCAGTGTGTCTCCCGAAGCCTGTTTCACCGGCTGTCTTGTATTCCAGGAGGCTGGCATCTTCAGTGTGGGTACCTGGCTGTGACAGCTTGCAGCTTCACATCCGGGTACCCACTGTGCATGTGCAAGTAGCGCTGCGCTTCATGAATGGTCCTGTAGTCTTCTGGGACCTGTCATGTGTCCCAAAAGACTACAGGGAGGGAGGACACCTCCTGCTTACGATCGCCTAGGCGATAGGACCGGAAATGGGAGCGGGTACCTGACAATTTTGGGTACCCGCTCCCCCCCACCCCCAAAGGTGCCAATCGTTAATGGGAAGCGGGGGAGCAGTCCTTAAAGCAGAACTTCCCATTTTGGGTGGAGCTCCACTTTAAGGACATTTATTATTTATTTATAGGGCTCATGTACACAGGGCATTTGGAAAACTCTTCTGAATGATGGAAACTGACTGCTGGAAAACGTAGGTTAGCAGAGTTTGCATACCGCGTTTATGTGCGTTTGCTTTTAGAAGCGTTTTTAAAAGATAACCTCAGGAGACATTTCCAAATGCCCAGAATGCAGTGAAAAATAGTAAAAAATTAACTATTTCAGACATTTTGAGAGGAATAGAGAGAGCAGAAGCAGAGAGAGCAGTATGTGTTGAGATGACCTGTCTTTTCTGGTTGTATTCACTATGGATCCCATCATGAGCATAATGCAGCACGTTCTACCATTTTTTCCTTCATGCAAAACCTGAAACTGACTGCACTGGTTTAATAGGTCCATTTGAATACATGGAAAATGCTTTACATTCATTTCTGATGATGCAAAAAGGGCTCTGGACAGCATCTGGACATGGAACAGTTATAAAACGCTTCTAAACGTAAACGCTTATAAACGCGGTTAACCACGTTTACAAGCATTTACACATGTTTACATGCATTTGGCATTTGAAACGTCCGTAAAACATACTCCTGAACACAAGTTTGGTGCGTTAAAAAAAACGACTGTAAACTCAACTGCCTGTAAACGACTATGTGTACATGGACACATAGGAAAACATTAGGGAGAGTTCAGGGGCTGCTGAAAAAAGTGTACATGAGCCCTAACAGAGAGATTGGATACAGTCCCATTGTTTTAAGAGGCGGGTAATGTCTCAAAAAACAGGAGGGTAATTAATTTGGTAGAGGGTGGAGTAGGAGGAGAAGATATGTATCCCTAAGTATTTAAGAGAATGGGAACACCAGCGGTAAGAGAAATTTTGTTATAGCTAATGGGGGGGAATGTGAAGGGGCAGGGCCTCTGTTTTTGTAGAATTTATTTTGTAACCCGAAAATGAACCAAAGAACATCAATAGACCATGGAGGTTAGGGAGTGAGGTATGAGGGGCAGTTAAAGTTAGAAATATGTTGTCCGTGAAAAGGGAATGTTTGTATTCCCTCTGACGCAGCAAAACCCCATGTATATCCAGGTGGGAGCGGATAGCTAGAGCAAGGAGCTCTAATCATAAAATAAAAAAGGGGGAAAGTGGGCATCCTTGCCTAGTGCCATTGCTCAAGGGGAATGGATGTGACAGAAAGGAAGACAATTGGACCGGGGAAAGTGGGTTGGGAGTATAAGGCTCAGAGGGCTTGGATAAAAGGACCAGAGAAGCCATATCTAGAAAGTGCATCAAACAAAAATGGACAACTAAGCCTATCAAAGGCTTTTTGGGCATCCAAGCTCAAAATCAGGGCCGAGCGGTTGGTTCTATTTAGGAGGTCAATAAGATCGATGGTGTGTCTAGTATTATCATCGACAGTACTGTAAATATTTAAATTTTTAAAAAAAATCTAATATTGATATACAGCTAACACATGACCCAGCTCTATCCCAGCCTGTCTTCAGGGGAGGCAGGAGGAGCTTCTAGTCCTCTACTGCTGGTCACATGTTCAAAAAAAAAAAAAACCCAATGGCATTTGGAATACAGAGTAAAAATAAATAATTAATATCAATAAACTGTTTTAAATCATCATCCAAATTTACAGTATATTTAAAATAAAATATTTATTATTTTTTGCCAATAACATGATATGGGCGGATTCTGTGTCATGCCCCTCCTGCCTGTCTTAGAATAACAGGGAGGTAAATCCTACATCAATCATGATGTAATATCCCACCCCCCATTGTGTTTATCTGGTTAGTAGGCATGGAGGAGGAGTGAGGGAGTGGTCGTCATTTAACAGTGTGTATACACCCACATGTTTGACTTTATAGTCATATGGGTTGCTCAGATGTGAGAGGAAATGCTCATGATAGAAATACACTGAAAACTGAGCATGTGCACTAGCCTCCTACAGTTGCTCTACAGAATCCCCAACTGCAGCGGGGACATGGACAGGAGTGGGAGACAGAGAACAGCAGGATCAACCAGGTTTTTTGCAGAATACAGAAAACAAACCCCATAGTGACTGAGTGAGTATGAAACAGCATGTAATACAGCATTTTTTGATACCTGCAGTTTTTAATGATGTAGGTTTAATATCACTTTAAATTTGTGCATTTTTTTTAAACTATTTTACATGCAAGAAAAAAACAAGGAGCCCTGAAAGTATTTTCATAACATTTATTCCGAATATCTCGAGTTTCCAAGAACAAAGCTGAAAAAGTCTATAACAAAGAAATAAAATGCCTATCACATAGAAAGAATTATACAGCACAATGCAATCCACGAGCTAAGAAGCAGATTCCTTCTGTAGGCAACCAGAGGTATCTGGAAGGAGGAGAAGAAGCCTTATTCACAATATAGAAAAACCTTGCAGTGTCTGAAAAAAAAGAGCTCGGCCTAGTTCTAATCTGCTTCTTGTCAATTTGTACAGGAGCCGCTTTTTACCAACACAACAAAATTATAGACCGGGACATCAATTGGAGAGCAACTTTCTAGAAAACAAGGCAGGATTATTGCTAACAAACCATGCAGAGAGGGAAAGCCAAATAAAAAATAAGAAGGACAAATAACAAGTCTAGTCAATTCTGGTTAGAGAGACTGAACCACTGGCTTGGATTACTTTGTTTCACAACACAACATCATAGACTCTCAATATGCTTATCAACGGATAAATGATGTATTATATACGTCTCCTAACTCTACAGATAATGCCAGCATACTGTTCAGACTGTAACATTGCTAACACAAGAGGGGAAATTCTGCCAATAATTTTAGGACTGAATTCCAACAGATTTAACCCGTTCATTGCCAGTGAGGCCTACAAGCCCCCTCTTGCAGGAAAGGGGTTAATTCACAGCTGCATAGAACTGTGCCCTGAAGAATGCATGGAATGAATGAATCCTGTAAAGGAGAAGCGTGTCTCAGATTCATTTTTCTGTATCTTAAAAAGAATTAGTCAGTTTAAGTAATTCATCCTTTTAAAAGTTGATTGCAACCCTCTTCCCGCATCTACGTAATAAGGGCACTGGGCGGACTACAAATCCTTGGTCTTAATCAGCGTCACAAGAGGTTTGTCATCGGGGCTGTAATCTTCGTATGTTACCGGAGTGGCCTCGTACATCGCCGGCCGAGCCTTTTTGCCAAACCTGATGAAAAAGAAGCAATAGCAAATAAATGGACAGTGACTGGACAATGAGTATTGAATTGCTTATAAATGTACAGATTATTAAGGAGACAGTTCATTGTAGACCTTCTCTGCAAATAATCAGCTCATCTGATAAAGAAACTTTATGGATATCATTTACATTTTTGTTCTTTCTTAAAATGGGACACCATAACAGTAAGCATAGCAATTTATAATCTCACCGTCAAATGTATGGACTCCATAAACTGAAATTCTTTAGAATAACAGCAATGCACAACCATTATTCACTACCCTCTACCCCCTAAAAAAAATTGTTGCCTGGCAGTCATGCTGATTCTGTATTTCAGTACCTTTTGTCACTGACTCTGCATACTTATTCTGAGTCACTGACTGTATTAAAGAAAGAAATAGCTAGCATTTTCAGATGGAAATCAGCTATGTCTACAGTAACTTTAAAAGACTACATAAATACATTCCTGACATGTCACAATATACCGCAGCAGTAAAACTGTCAGAGATTTTCTACCTATTATCATTAAACATCCATCACTGAGTTACAGTCAAGTGAGTTTGCTTAGGCTGAGATGATGTAAAACAGGGGTGTCCAAACTTTTGACTTTCCTGGGCCAAAATGGAAGAAGAGGAATTGTCTTAGGTCACACATAAAATACACTAACAATAAGGGTAGTTGATGAGTAGAAAAAAAAAGGGGGCAGATCACGTTAACAATCACTGATATAGATAATGTACCTATCTAAGTAATAATTCATTTTTATATTTTTTTTTATTATAAAAGTAAAAGAGGGCAACATAACACTAGTGCGATATTTGACACTGTTTTTGCAAAACTAACTCATCAATATCTGGTTCGATGGATGTAGTAGCAATTCTCAATGAAGGAGCTCATTAAATATTTTGGTTTTAATTTTGCGCTTCGTGTGCTTCATCCTTGAAAATAGTTGCTCAGAAATATAGGTGCTTCCGTGAATGAATAAAGCGTGATTGTGAAGAGTGGGAAATTTTTCTTTAGGAAGATAAAACTTATAGTCTACTGAAGAAACACTGTCAAATTTTTATTTGGCTGCATGTATTTGCTAAGTGTAAAAGCATTTTATAAAATGTTTTTTAAAAATAAACATTTTTATGTAAGTTTGCAATTTTGTGTTGGGCCGCATTCATAGCTGTCTTGGGCCATAAGTTGGACTCCCCTGAAACTTCTTCAAGCAGGAGGAAACATTTCTTCAGTTTCTCACCCCCAGAGACCAAACTGTAACATTGTAACTTTGTAGCTAGTCAAGTGAGAGGCTGTAGAAGGGGGTGATCTGCTGTATGTCAGACATTTGTGAACAAAGCCACAAGTACACAAGCACCAGGATTTACATGATTTTGTCATCAATGAGCCAAAATCTCAGTCCAGGAAATAGATGCTGACCCTGGGATGTGTGGGAACATATGTATTTCTAATGAGAAATATACTGTAGATGAAGGTATTCACAAGGGATTACTGTAATGTCTCTGAGATCATAATGTAATAAATATATACAGTTGTGGCCAAAATTATTCAACCCCCACTGAAATTGAGTGTTTTGGCCAGTTTGACATTGCTTTTGATCATTCAGTCATCTTGCTTACATTTACATTAAAGAGGCACTTGTAGGTCAGACAAATATAACATAACAGTTATAATGAAATAACCACAAATGTCTTTTCTGTGCTCACAGCATTATCAGTTTTATTCAACCCCCAAGTGACATTCAATCTTAGTACTTAGTACAGCATCCTTTTACAGTTATAACAGCTTTTTAAACGTGAAGCATAGCTTGACACAAGTGTCTTGCAGCGATCTACGGGTATCTTCGCCCATTCTTCATGGGCAAAGGCCTCCAGTTCAGTCACATTCTTAGGCTTGCGCACTGCAACTGCTTTCTTTAAGTCCCACCAGAGGTTCTCAATCGGATTTAAGTCTGGTGACTGCGATGGCCACTCCAAAATGTTCCAGCCTTCCTCTGCAACCATGCTCTAGTGGACTTGGAGGTATGCTTGGGATCATTGTCCTGTTGAAAGGTCCAACGTCTCCCAAGCCTCAGGTGTGTGTGACGGACTGCATCACGTTTCCATCCAATATCTCCTGGTACTGAAGAGAATTCATGGTACTTTGCACACGCTGAAGCTTCCCTGTACCTGCAGAAGCAAAACAGCCCCAAAGCATGATTGACCCTCCACCATGCTTCACAGTAGGCAAGGTGTTCTTTTCATCATAGGCCTTGTTCTTCCTCCTCCAAACATAGCGTTGATCCATGGGCCCAAACAGTTCTAATTTTGTTTCATCAGTCCACAGAACACTATCCCACAACTTTTGTGGTTTGTCCACATGGCTTTTGGCATACTGCAGTCGACTCTTCTTATTCTTTGGAGACAGCAAGGGGTACGCCTGGGAGTTCTGGCACGGAGGCCTTCATTACGCAGTGTGCGTCTTATTGTCTGGGCTGAAACTTCTGTACCCACATCTGACAAATCTTTTCTCAGTTCCTCAGCAGTCACACGGGGACTTCTCTCCACTCTACGCTTCAGGTAGCGCACAGCAGTCGAAGTCAGCATCTTCTTTCTGCCACGACCAGGTAGCGTTTCAACAGTGCCCTTTGCCTTGAATTTGCGAATGATGCTTCCTAAGGTGTCTCTTGGTATGTTTAACATCTTTGCAATCTTCTTATAGCCATTGCCCTTCCTGTGAAGAGAAATCACCTCTTCTCTTGTCTTCCTGGACCATTCTCTTGCCTTCACCATGTTTGTAACCACACCAGTAAATGTCTAGAAGGAGCTGAGTATCACAGTCATTTTTAAAGCTGCCTAATTGGTGCTTATTATGCTTGATTGCTGCTCGGTGACATCCACAGGTGTTTTCAATACCTGATGGAAAGCACCTGTATGAACCTCTGTTCTTCAGAGTGGTAGTCTTTAAGGGGTTGAATAATTGTGGCAATGAAGAAACCACATAAGAACCATTTACTACTGTATTACATAAACAATTGATGTCATTTTAGTTGCATTTGGGTAGTTACAACGTCCTTGTAGGATTTGATTCTGAATACAATTCCAAATGTACACTATAGTCCCTAAACCCCTTTACAGCATTGGGGGGTTGAATAATTTTGGCCACAACTGTACAAATGTTATACTTACACATTAATTAACATGCATGTGCTTAATATGAAAAATGTTAAAAGAAAATCCACTTTTTAACGTTGATTAGTGATAATTTTTTTAAAAAAATCTGATCTTCAGTGATACAAAACTTACCCCTCAATTCTGTTTGCTGTGTAAATATTTGCAGCAGTTTTAGACATTTCCCTATGTTTAGATGTTAAGTTTTTCCCCTCCACCCCCCCCCCCCCTTTAAGCTCCTGGAAAATGAAAATGCTGTATAAGGGATAAAGATTGCTTTATTAAGTGTACTGCTAAATTATTATTATTACTGGTATTATGTTATAAAGCTATTTCATAAAACTTTGTTATTGTTGTTTTTGAAGACATCGCTTTGGTTTAGCAACAAGGAAAAAAAAATGAAGCAGAAAGCAGATTTTTTATTTTATGCATCAGGCTTAAGTAATGGAAGCAGCACTAACAACAGCAAGTGGAACAGGAGGATGCAATCGGCAGGCTTGGCAACTATGGTGGCAGAAAACTCTGGTGGTGGTGGTGTTCAATTTAGTTTTGAGAAGAGGTGGTTGAAGATTGTTAGAATTGATTGATCAGATAGAATTAATTTTGTTGGATTTAATTGGATTTTTGTACTTACTGTAAAATCTTAGGGTTTCGGGGGAGGAAAGGTGTGGATCAGGTGGTACTGAGCCATCAGAGCATCCACTGCCTGTGCCAGACAACCTGGTGTTAGGTGTCAGGTGAATCAATTTGTCTATACACTGAACCGATATGTCTCACAATGGCAGAATGTTGAGTTTTAGGGGTCTAGAATGATTCTACAGGGGAAGGTTTAGAGGTACACTTATAGCCTCTGAGTCAGCAATCAAAATTGAAATTTAGCTTATAAAATCCTGCATCACTGCGGATAAAATTCTGGCTCAGAACCAAGGAGGGGGCCTTGGGGTCAAGGAAAAGACACAGGGACGGTAGGAACTTTAGCAGGGAACAACATTCCAGTCTGTCCTCAGGCCCTTAAGAGGGAACACTGCAGGCCACCTCAGAACTGTTACTGGATTGTGAGCCAGAAGGACCCAATATAGTGATACTGCTCCTTGTGTGTTTGGGATCTGACTTGTTGCACCTCAAGCAGAGACAATTTAGCTCTAATACAGGGTAAAACCTTGAAATGGCTGGAAGTGCCCAAGTCATTGTAGGCAAACCAGAGGATCAGCAGAGCTGGGGGTTACTACTGAGTGGGAGATCAGCAGAGCTGGGGGTTACTACTGAGTGGGAGATCAGCAGAGGCGGGACTCACAGCTAGTAAGTGGCAGATCAGCAAAACTGGGGGTTACTACTGAGCGGGGGATCAGCAAAGCTGGGGTCCTATTGAGTGAGGCATCAGCAGAGCTGGGGGTACTGCTGGACTGCTGAACAAGGGTACTAATAAGTTAGGGATCTGCTGATCGAGGGTACCAGTGATCTGGGGATCTGCTGAGTGGAGGTACTACTGAGCCAGTGTTCTACTGGGCCCCTTTAACCACCTCCCGTCCGGCCGTTGTATATAAACGGCCGGACGGTGGCAGTGCAGAGTCGGGTGGCTGTTTATAAACGGCCTCCCTGCACCCTGCTTGTGCGTGCTCCCTGGGAGCGCGCAGCATCGTGATCCGGTGCCCGCTGCGTCCTCCAGACACAGTGGAACACCGATTGTCGTACGGGACCTCTCTGCAAGGTCCCGATCATGTGATCACTGATTGGCCAATCAGTGATCACAAGCAGAGTAGTAGTAAGCAAGATGTCACTTCTGACATCATTGCTTACTACGTGTGAAATCTGCGAATGATCACAGAGGCCACATGGTACAAGGCTATTCACAACAGCCTTGTACCATGTGACAAGCTGTGACCAATCACAGCTCACACAGTAGTTCTCAATGGCTGCAAGAATGCACACAGAGAGAAAGGAGAAATGATTGTTTTTACAGCCTTTATTGGTGTAAAAGCAATCAGTGTAAAAAAAAAAAAAAAATCTTCATCACCTTCACAAGTAGTACAGTGTCACCATGGTGACACTGTACTGCTAGGGTGACAGTATGTAAAAAAAAAAACAAAAAACATAAATAATAATATAAAAAAATAAAATTGTAAAAAAAATTTTTTTAAATTGTAATTTTTGGTTATAAACTAATTTGGGTTATTTTTTTTTTACTAAACAGGTATCGGAATAAATTTTGGCCGCGATTTATGATGAAATATTATTTATTTGCAATATTTTATAAGAAAAACACTTTTTTTTCAAAATTTTTGGACTTTTTCATTTACATAGCAAAAAAAATAAAAATCCCAGTGGTGAATAAATACAACCAAAATAAAGTTTTATCTGTCTCAAAAAAATGCTAAAAAATTCATATGGGTACAGTGTTGCATGACCGCACAATTGTCATTCAAAGTGTGATAGCATTGAAAGCTGAGAATTGGCCTGGACAGGAAGGGGGTAAAAGTGTCCGGACTTGAAGTGGTTAAAACAAATAGAAAATCAACACAAACACAGGACATTTGCCAAGCTTCAGCTTCATAATAGCATCACCGAAAGCATCACCAAAGTATCACAGAAGCATCAAAAACACATAAAAAAAGCATGTTATAGCAGTAGGCACTTTAATGCATACTAAAGTGGAAACAAGTGTAAATGAGCCCCTAAACTTTTCTGGGTGGAGGAAAGATGTACATTTTCCTAGGACACAGAAGCAATCAAAATGACTTCTCTTCCCAAGCTACTTTACCCTTTTCGGGTGGTCCCTGTTCAGATTCCACCCCATATACTCCATATCTTACAGCGCAAAATTTCACGGTTTGTATGGGCTGCGGGACGTCCTCATTTGTCTAAACAGTTGCTTTACCTCCCACGTATTCGTGGTGGTCTCTTTGTCTTCCAAACGTTCATCATTACTATATTGTAGCCCGAATTACTCCCCTCATTCAGCTTTTTTCTCTAAAGGACTTACCCTTGTGGGCACTGATAGATACTTTGGGCACACATCCCCTTCTGCCTTCAGCCTTGCCTTAGCTTCCTCCTGTCCTCAGAGCCTAAATTGTTGAATCCTGTCTTGACTTACACCTTAAAAATTCGGGACTCATGTAAGTACTCAGCGGGTTTAATTTCCCCGCATTTACCTCTCTTACAATTATTCGATTGTCCGCTTTTTCCCCCCAGGGGACTCTGATAAGATGGCCTTTCGTTGATGGATAACTCAAGGTTTTACAACGGTCCACTCGTTGATTGCGAGTTGAGGTATCCTTACGTTTGCGCAGCTTCGAGAGAGTCATTCTATTCCTCCCTCAGAGTTATTTCGCTATTTGCAATTACGTCACTTTGTTGTACTTTTGATTCGTAGACGGGATTCCCCTCGCACCTTTTTGGGTTTTGAATCGCTTTGTAAGGCATCGGCTTCCACTAAAGGTGCTCTATCTCAAATGTATCTTTCAATCCGGAACAATATAGCTGAACCTCTGCCTGCTTACTGTGTGCAATGGAATGTGGAGCTTCAAGCGGAAATTTCTTCTGAGGATTGGGGGTCTATGTGGCAAGGAGTTTCCCGCTGCTCTCGTAACATATAACATACATTAGAGAATTCCTATAAAGTGATTTCCAGATGGTATTTTACCCCATCTCGACTAGCTAAATTTATACCGGATTATAACTCTTAGTGTTTTCGAGGCTGCTCTCTAGAGGGTACGATGCTCCACATTTGGTGGATCTGTCCAGTGGCCTGCTGCTTGTGGACTAGAGTTTTATAATCTCATTTATTCAACTACGCCCATTAACCTTAAGAATGATCCTATTGAGGCCTTACTTTTTAAGCCACTTCACGGCTTACCTCGTGGACCATGCTCATTGATCAATTTTTTTTTTGTATGGCTACTAAACAAACTATTGCTGGTTCTTGGAAATCCCCTACTCTACTCTGGAGGAGGTGAGGTCCAGAATCCAAGGTTTCTTTATCAACGAGAAATTGACGGCAGTATTGAAGGATAAACATGATAAGTTTCTCTCTGTTTGGCAACCATGGGTGGATTACCAGCCAGTTTCTCGTTTTACTACAAAATTTACTAATCTATGAGGAGGTGGGTTTTGCCTCTCCCCTTATGTGGGGATCGTGTCTCCCAGCTCTCCACCCAGTGGTGTATTTAGGTTTTGTGTTGCCCTAGGCAACACAAAAATCGTGTGCCCCCAAGGACACCGACCAACACCCCCCCCCCCCTTCCCCCTCCCACAGAGAAAGGCTGACATTGACCAACAACACCCCTGCCCCCACCTGGGAGAGCCTTAAACCCCCCCCCCCCCGCGATAGAGAGACACTCATCTTCACAGCTCTGGACATCCCTAGAAGAGAGAATCAGGCTCTACATACTCCATAAAGCAGCGCACAGCCTCTCTCGTATCCCACCTGGTTCTCATGGCGTGTGTGTCCCTTCTTTCATCCCTTCTTCTGGGGGAGATACTGCCCCCCTGAAAAATGCCGCCCTAGGCAAGTGCTTTGTTTGCCTTGTGGTATATACACCCCTGTCTCCACCCCCAGGCAAACTCCTCTTCTTTGCTGGCCTGCTTCTTTTTTCTCTCTGCTCTCTTACTTTCTTTCTTTCTTTCTTTTGTTCTCCTGTTTTCTCTGTTTGATTTCTCTCCTCTTTTGCATGGTTTGTTTATATTAGACCGATTCTCCATCATTTATTTTTGTCATCTTACAGGTCTATGATTCTCAGGGACAACATTGCCTCATGAGAGCGTGGTTCTCTATGTGTTTTCTTTTTGTTGCTCTCTTGTATGTAGCTTTTATATTTCTGAAAGTGGTTGCGGACCTCATAGTCCTTTGCCTTCCATAGTGTTATCTGGACCCCAGGGCGGGTCTTGTTTGAGTATTTCTGTGCTTGCTGTGTGTTGTTCCCCTCTTTTATTGTTTGTTGTAGCTTTTTATCATATGATTTGCTATGGTTTGTATATTTCTTTTAACAGGCTAATAAAATTTTGGTAAAAGAAATACTAGACCATTACATGGCAAAGTGGCTTAGAGGCCTACCATAAAGGAGAAAAGAGTGATTCTAGTTTATTAACCAAATGTACTATGGAAGAAATTCTTAAAGTAAGCAGATATAACCAGGCGTCAGCTGAGAAGATAAATTGGATGAAATATATGTGACGTCATAGCTCCAATTCATAAAATAACAGTGTCTGCCAGCTCCAGGAGGAGGAGTAAAGCAGGCATACATATCACATCCTGTATTCTCATTGCTTGGCCATGAGAGAAACCACAATTCCCATGATGCCATGGAAATTGTAGTGAATGGACATGATTGTGGGTGGATATATGTAAAAATTACAGTGAATGAGGTTGTGTGCTTTCCCACATATTGCTCAGGACGTGCCCACATTTTTTCACACCTGATGCTCAGCCACAGCTGGACTAGTAATAAACAATAATTTTACTTTAAAAAGCACCTTTCCTGCTCCTCACAGACCAATATCTCATTTAGCTGTGGGGGAGGTGCTTACACTGAGGCCAGTGCTCATTTGCAGCATTCACAGGCCTTGGAGGGCCAAGACCGACTAGAGAACTCCTGGTCTGTCAGTCACTGCATGAGGTCACTGGAGGTGGGAAAGACCAGGTGTCTCCTGAACTGTCAATCAAATGATACTGCCACAGTGGGCGACTAAGACCAAAAGCTTGAGACTTCTGGATCCACCCATTACAGCAAGCGGGGACGTAATTGCATCATTGCTCACTGCAAAGAACTACAGTGGGGAAGTGACAAGACCGGTGGCTGGGAGGACAGTGGAAAAAACAACCACCCAATCTTGTAATGTGCATGTTGAGGGGACTGAGACTGTAGGTGGTAAGAAAGTAACATTTAAAACAGTAAAAGTTATGCTGGTTGCATATAATTCCCCAGTGTAGGTAACACTTTTTCACTTTCATCATAATAAAATATTTCAACTTTATGATTGAAAAAAAAAAAAAATTATTCCTGCTAGGTCCAGCTCTCACTCTTTATACTTACCGTGCATGTCTAATTGATGCAATAGCACTGCTAAACTCGCTGTCGATGCTCCTACAGTTGTAGAATTCTTCATAGGCAGGCCGGGAGGAACCCTGGTACTCAATTCGACTAATTCTGCAGATGCCCACAATCAAGATGATGAGCATGAGTACAAATGCAACGCACAGAGCTCCTATGATTATGTAGAGGGAATGACGGGGCATGTTTGTCAGGCTTTCTGCCATGTGTCCAGCTTTCCACTGCAGATCTGTTCCCGGAAATGATAAAAGACATCAATAAGAATACATGTATCAGAGATTAGAACATTCACTAAGGACTTTTAAGTTCTTTAATATACACAGATGAAGTACATAGTGGTTTTATATGACAAGAAATTTGTATTTCTATCTTTCCAGTCCTGGCTGTGTGTATGTGGCATTCTGAATGGCATACCCTCATCGCAAAGGTGAGATAATGCGTGCTTTTAAAAAATGAATGGTGTACCCAGACTCCACATCAAGCACCTCCAACAGCGATTGATTCCTCTCCAAAATTAACTCCCAGCTTGTAGTCACAAGATTATTAGATGGAAAGGTCAAGCCCAGTCATTCACACAGTCAGGCTCAAGGAAGACAAAATCAAGAATATAGTGCTCACTGCTGTATTTACTGAAAAAATAAAATAGCCACAAATATTGCACTCACATTCTCTAAATATAAGCATTGCTTATATCAAGAGAGAGCTGCTAAAACTTTGTGAAGTAGTACTGCTTGGACCTTGAAAGCTTGTCCTGAAAATGGTATGTTAGTGCAAATAAAAAAAGTATCATGAACAGTACATGTGGACAGTGACAAATGTATCCATTCGGTTGGTCTACACAGGTACCACCATGATGACATGGATTACTGTCACACTCGTTTATATCAACCTCACACTCTTCCCCTGAAAAGGAACAAAGTATTGTTCACGAAAATCATTCCTGGTTCAGACATCTGTATAATGTCCTTATCATATCAGAATTAATTCTACTTTGTTCTTTTTTTACTTTTTTGCACTGATCTTTTGGGCACTTGGGTGTTGTATATTGATGTAGTTTTCGGATTTCAGCAATTTACATGTACATTGAGCACTATAATAATGTCGAATTTTTGCTATATATATTTGTAATACCACATTATACTTAGCGCAAAACGTCTTTATTCAGAGCAATATAGTATTTCCTGGTTGTGGAAAGACTTGCAAGAAGCAGGCAATTTAAAGACAGAAATGTGAAAATGCAAATATTACATCTGCTTTTGATTATTTTGTTTAGTCCCCTGTCAATTTATGAAGTAGGCACCAGTAGATGAAACATGTGCTCTGAAAGCAGAAATTCTTTTTTGTCTCCAAAATATATTTGGTAAAGCTGAACTTTAAGACAAGTAGTACCATACCTTATAGTAAATAAACAGCTGTAATAAATATATCTGAACTGTGTTGCCTAACAAAGAACTTGGAGTTCTGTTAAACCAGACACCAATCCTTGACAGCACACCTGGGCCTGGATCTACACTGGAGTTACAAATAATAATGTGATCCAAGACACACTCCAGTCTGTGACTGAGGAGCAACAGTTTACTGATAAGGTCAACCCTACACTCCCACCTCTTTGAAGTGATAATAAAAGCTTAGTTTACTTCAAACAACTGATGTATTCTGAGTAGGCAGGTTCTTCATCCTTTAGTCCTTGCCTATGTTTCTGCTTCAGCTGATGATATGCTCAGGTTTCCTGTTTCAGGGTGGCTTCTTTCTCTTGCAGCATCCTATGGATCCACCCTTGCATGCAGGAACAAGAGCTGGGTCTCACTACACTGCAAGCATTAATAAGAACCCCCCCCCCCCCCCGTAGGTCAGGGTGGCAAGGCACTCTCCTGCTCCTCCCTTCTCTCCCCTCTCTTCTAAAAGCCAAAACACTGAATAGTGACTGCACTGTCCACTGTTAACTCTATTTGGTGAAAAGTGGAAGTTCAGGAAAGCAGCACTGGGGAAGAAGAGCCAGCAGTATTGAAAGTGGTAAAATGTAAGTGTTTGGGTAAGCTTTTTAAGAAATAGTTTACTGAGTAATGTTTATTTTACTGTGCTCAATGTACTAAATTAATAAAAAAAATGCTAAAGGTTTAATACTACTTTAAGCATGTTCCTTAAAAGCAACAGGGCTCTCTGTGGCTGCCCCTCCCACTCCCAGACTGATTGCTGTTGTGCAAGGGATAATAGAAGGCTAAAATCAACTCAGATTTAGGGCTCTTGCACACAGGCTGGAAAGCCCATTCAGCATAACTGCAGCCATATTTCCTCAACCCAGGAAACGCAGATGCAGCCTGTCCATAACATGAATGGCTGTGCACCACAGTACTTGCGTATACAGCGTTGCTATCGTAAACATGAGTACAGTGTATAAGCGTTTGAAAGAAGCACTTGTAGCTCTTCTGCATCCAGTTGATTCTATACAGAGGTAAAAAAAATTATAAAAATAAGGGGTTAAAATTGGAACCAGGCAAAACAGACTAGCTGCCCTTAGTAAGTAGGTTAATAATAATTTACTTGCTAAGGGCGACTAGTCTGTTTTGCCTGGTTCCAGTTTCAACCCTTTATTTTTCTAATTTGTATTAACCTCAATAAGGTATGTACAGAATCAACTGCCAAAAAACCAACAGGTTTATTACAACAGGCCAACAAACACAATTTTCTATGAATTAGACCAAAATGTAGCGTTAGAAATGTAAATATACTGTAGTTTAGCTACAGTAAGATGTCTTATTGGGAAATTGCTCCCATGCTGTCTAGAAAATGGATCCAAAGTTTGTAAATGTTCCTAATTTTCAGGTAACAAAGTATGAGGTCCATTCTAAAATTTGGAAAAACAATTGTTTCCAAAACAACTAGGTTCTAAATATTTCAGGACATTACACTGTGTTGTTTTTTAGGTAGAATACATTTCTTCTACCGCTATTCCCCAACTATTTCTACAGTTGTACTTTATAAAGAGAAATGATATTGCCAAAAGAGAGCACACCTATTACCCAACATTTACCAAGAAAGTATGCACGTGCATATGTGGCCATATCCCAGAAATTTCAATGTGCAACTAAGACCTCTAACAGAACAGTGGGACATTAAAGGATGCCAAATTATAGATAGGCATTTATTAATATATATCTGTATTTTTTTTTTATTAAAAAAGCATGTCTATATATAATTTGGTGTAATTTTAAAGTACCACTGTTCTGATCTTTTAGAGTTCTTGGTTGCATACTGTTTTAGCAATACAAATATTTTGGCGCAACAAGAACTGACTTAGTAGGCACAGTTTACAATGACATACTTGGTAAATACTTACGAATCTCACAGGTGGCTCCAACCCAGCCATGTGGACAGTGACAAATATATCCGTTCGGTTGGTCTACACAGGTACCACCATGATGACATGGATTACTGTCACACTCATTTATATCAACCTCACACTCTTCCCCTGAAAAGAAACAAGGTATTGTTCACGAAAATAATTCCTGGTTCAGACATCTGTGTAAATGTCCTTATCACATCAGAATTAATTCTACTTTGTTCTTTTGTTCTGAAATAACCATAATTATGACTTAGTTCTCCTATTGTTTGAGGCTGTGGGATGTCTTGGGAGAATCTGTTACTTTCAGGGTTATTCACTGTTCAACAGGTAAAAAGTTTTGGGCATAAAATTAGCTAATCTTACATAATTTTGGGGTGCTGAAAACGAAAATGACCCTAAAAAATGTTGATTGGCTCTAGTTTCCATGATATATTCACCCATCTAATGACGTAAGCCATTCAAAATTATGATGCAACTTCAGCTGCATATTGCGCAATTGATACTGGTGACCAATAGAAAATTGCATGTATATTGAGATGATGCAATATTAGCCTTTAATTGCATCACTTCACTGCATAAAAGCTGCAGTATCTGTAGCTGATTGTAGTTCGACAGCGTCTTTACATTTCGTTTTATGCTTATATAGGCTACTCAGTAATGCCTCGAACTTGTGTGAATAAAGCAGATAATTTCTGCTATATCTGCGGTGAAATAACTTTTATCTCACAAAAAAGGAGGATAACAGGAATGATTAAAAAAGCCTACAACTTGTATTTTGGCTGCAAGATAGGAGACCAGGACAAGAGCTGGGCACCACATATATGCTGCAATTCTTGTGGGACGGCACTGGAGCAATGGTTGAATGGAAAAAAAGGCATCTATGCCTTTCGCTGTGCCAATGATTTGGAGAGAGCCAACAGATCATGTTAGTAATTGTTACTTTTGTATGGTGCCTCCAATTGTAAAAGGGCTAAATAAGAAGAAAAAGTTATCTGTGCACTATCCAAATATTCCATCGGCAATACGTCCAGTTCCTCATGGAGAGGGGCTACCAATTCCTAAAGCACCAGAATCCTTCGTGGTTGAGTCACGTGAGGAAGAACCTGAAGCGTGTAGTCACGTGCAGTTGTAAGAGATAGCCCTTTCCTCGAATACAAGAGAAAAGCCAAGAGAAGCAAAACCGACACAAACTGAAGACAAAACTAGTGAGAATCCTAAGTATTAAAATGATTCAACTTAGCTTATGGCTATAATTTTTCTTGTAATCCTATGCAATATATTATGCCATTTAGGCTTTGTTATGTAGTCAATATCACTTGCTTTATATTTGTGGAAAGACATCTATCTATATAATTATTGTGCATTATGTAGTCATTACGCCTATAGTAGAAAACTTTCCGTTTACAGAAAAACTAGAGCCAATTGACAAATTTCATTGTTATATTTGAACTCAGAATGTGAAATTCATTAAGAAATGGATCCTTTTGTTTCCAAAACTGGCAAAAAATAAAAATTTGTTGAACAGTGTTATCCTTCATTATCAGCTTATTGTAGTACTTGAGCCTTTCACCATATGGTTTTTTTATTAACTTACTCTACTATACTGTAATTGTGCCCTGCAAGTGCTTTTTAGCTACTTTTTATGTTTTTGTTATTTTGTACAACTTAATATAAAATAATAAAACAGATTATTAAAAAAATTATTATTATTGATTAATGTCCAGATAATTGATACTGTATGTCGGCATGTAGTGAGTAGCTAAGAAAACTATAGACTGGCTCTGCATAACATGTGTTTTTCATATTACACTCACCATCCACTTTGTTAGGTACACCTTGCTAGTGCCAAGAAAATATCCCCCACACCATTACACCACCACCACCAGCCAGAACCATTGATACAAGGCAGGATGGATCCATGCTTTCATGTTGTTTACACCAAATTCTGACCCTACCATCTGAATGTCACAGCAACCAGTCTGCCCATTCTCCTCTGACATCAGCAAGGCATTTTCGTTTACACAACTGAAGCTCACTGGATATTTTCTCTTTTTCGGACCATTCTCTGTAAACCCTAGATATGTTTTTGAAAATACTCAGAGTTTTTGAAATACCAGACCCCCGTCTGGCACCAGCCATCATGCCACGTGCAATTTCACTTAAATCCCCTTTCTTCCCCATTCTGATGCTCAGTTTGAACTTCATAAAGTCGTACTCACCACGTCTACATTCCTAAATGCACTGAGCTGCTACTACAGTATGTGATTGGCTGATTAGCAATTTGTGTTACCAAGCAATTGAACAGGTGTACCTAATAAAGTGGCTGTTGAGTGTATATGTGTTTCATCTCACAGTACCAGACCTGGACAAAAGGTACTGCAGTTGGTATTCTGGAGGGCCAAGATGACAGCTCTAAATGATGGTCTCTGCATGTCATTCGTTCTGTGATGGAAGGAAACAATACCTGCACCTTTTGAACCTGTGCACTCATTAAATGTGTTCGGTAAAATGTATACTATATGGCCAGAGATTTAGGAATACCTGATCTTCACACCTATATGAGATTGCTGGACATCCTGTTCAAAAACCAAGGGTATTAATATTGAGTTATACCTCTCCAATTGCTTCAGTCTTCTTGGTAGGTGTTCCTCAAATATTTTGAGTATATCTGCAGGAATTGTGCTCATTCAGTCAAAAGAGATTCTGTGAAGTCAGGGTCTGATGTTGGATAGGAAGACGTGGTTTGCAATAGGCATTCACCTTATCTTTAAAGGTATTCAAAAGGGTTGAACCATGTCTTTATGGACTTGGCTTTGTGGACAGGGGTACAGACATGATGGAGCAAGGGCCTTCCCTAAAGTATTGCCATACAGTTGTAATGTACACTTGTGTAAAATGTCCTTGTATGCTGTAACATTAATAGTAACCTTCATTGGAAATACCTAACTCATCTGGATGTGTGTCCACACTGACTATATAGTGTAGGTGTGATGGCCAGGCATCCACACACTTTTGGTCATATAGTGCGCACCTGTCTTCACCACATATATTAGTGATCACTAATATGAAAATCATTTGCTAATGTAATTGACTACCAGTCTAACTGTCATTCAGCAACAGTATGGAAACCTATTTAGTAATATATGACAGCAAATCAACAAATACAGACAATATAAAAAAGAAAGACTAGCTTTTTTACCTGGACATTCCAAAGCTTACTCACCCATAAATCCAGAAGCACAGACACAGGTAGCATTCAGTCCTTCACTGTCACAAGTCCCTCCATTTTGGCAGGTTACATTCAAACAGGGATCCTTGTATAACTCACAGTGACGTCCTGGAGGCACAAGAAACAGTAACATTTAGCAGGTAGTTCACTTTACAGTAAATGTTATTTATGTCAATAAAGGGTACATTTCTTCTGGATGATAAGAGTGTTGTCCAACTCTCTGAAACATAAAGTATGTACTCAGAATGCAGCACAATGTTAATGTTTATGTTAACTGCTGCCACTTGCTTAATTTTGAATAGACACCATGGTGCAGCTGGAATTAGAACCTAATTGTTCCAAAGTCTGTGTTGGTGTCTACAATATTACACCCAGGGGCGACTGACCATTCGAGCACTCGGGCACTGCACGAGGGCCCAGGGTCAGAAGGGGGCCCCATAATATGCCCCAGGTACCTTTTATAGGCTTTTTTGGGTGTGTTGTGAGTGTGGGCAAGGCCACAGGGGCCCCATGATCCCCAATTGCCTGGGGGCCCCATGAGTTGTCAGTCTGCCCCTGGTTACACCTTTGCAACTCAAATTGCTTTTTTATTCCATTATATTCCACATTGCTGTACAGAGAACATAAATCTATTTACATTAGACACAACTCTGGGAGAGCATATAATCTAATGTATGCGAAGACATCCTGGGCAGACAACAATTTTAAAATTTAGGTATTTAACCTACAAGTATGTTTTTACATAGTGAGAAGAGTCAGAAAAACTCAAAGGAAGCCCACTGAGAAAATAAAACTCAATGCAGATAATACCCTGCTGGGAATGGAACCCAGGACCGCAGTATTGAGAGAAAGCACTGTCTCACTATGCCTCCCCAAATGTATCACTTTGTGCAAAGCTGGAATTAGCCTGTAACCATATGAAAACATAACTAAATGAGGGATCCTTCCCACTGATGCGGTGCAGCTTTCCCACCCTGTGGGTGCAATGCAGTGTACACGCAGGTTTTGTTCAGGTTACCTGCGCGTTCCCATAGACTTCTATTGCATCGGGTGGTTTTGGTGCGTTTTCTGAAAGCACACCAAAAGCCCTGAACTGCTAGCCAACCTATACAGAAACATAGAAAGAAACTAAATTAAATTAGTATAAATTAATAAATTATTTTTTTCGCTCATGAGGCTAAACTGCTCCACTTCAATACACATATATGAACTATTATTTATATTCTGTTTTATTAAACGTTCCATGAGAGAATATTGTCTCTTGTCAAGCGCTATGTCAGTCATATCAGTAGCTGTGGAATCCTCTATTCACTGTGAGATTAGCTTGAAAACCACTCATCCATATTAATGTGGTGTATCCAGGCTTTGTACAATGAATATGCTTGTCAGCACCCATCACAGACCTAAATCCTCTGACCCTGGGCCCTGGATGCACTTTATTGACTGCTGGATGGGTTAAAAAGAATCCACTATTTTCTTTAATGTTAATGTGGACCTAAACCCAAAAAAGTGAAGATGTGCTATCTTAGTGGGAACATCTAGAAATGTAATTGTACCCAAATAGTACCTTAAACCATCTATATTTGTCTTTTCTTCCTCCAAAAAATAGCAATGCACATTCTAATAGCTACCCATCTGCTGTGTGAGGACTAAAACTCTGCTGCCTCTTACTGCTAGTCTCATGAGATTTGGAGATATCCCCACTGTGCTTCTCACTGTTCTCCTTGCTGAAAATAAAGCTGTACCTGAGAACTTCAAATAAACATAAACACAAATCTGTGCTGTGTGAAAAAAATCATGCAAATAATAATATAATAATTGGCAAATGGCTATGCGACTGCCTGTACATAAAGGTAGCATACCAAACCCAAAAAGGTCATATTAAACTGATTGTATAGTGCCACCTAATAACAGTGTAAAACAATTATAATATCCAAAAAGAAAGCTTTATAATTAAATGAAAAAAAGTCCCCAATGATGTCTACACTGTGAAGCGTAAAGAAGAAAGTCTTCTGCCACCATGTTATGTTAGTTCGCTCTTCTCTGTGCCCAAGGAGAACCTGCAGTGCAAGGATCCCTCTGCTTCTTCCTTATTTATTCTGTGGATCTTTAGTTTATGTGCCAATCTTGCTGCTTCCCCTCCACCAGTCAACAGATCACCAATCTCACAGGCATAAGCAAGCAAATCCCTGTTCCTTTACTAAGATGACCACCTCTAAACACAGACACAGTGCAAAAAAAGGCAAGCCAGAAGAAACAGAGAACAAGTGCCCAACAGAGCTCTCGGACTTGAGCTGAAGACTGTGTCAAAGTGGCCTTTAGGTTCACTTAAACATAAGGTATGAATGAAATGGTTATTGTTATTTGCACATCCCACCAGAAAAATGGATGTGCAAGTACAGGATTCAAAATCAATAGTGTAGTCTGTTTTAGGGGATAGAATAGTCTGGGGAGATTTACTAAAACTGGAGCACTCAGGATCTGGTGCTGCTGTACATGGTAGCCAATCAGCTTCTAACTTCAGCTTGCTCAATTAAGCTTTGACATTAAAACTTGGAAGCTGTTTGGTTTCTATGCAGAACTGCACTAGATTTTGCACCGTGCAGTTTTAGTAAATAACACCTTCTGGTACTGAATCAGAGGTACGATCATCTAGAGTAGAAGATAAGATTAGGGACAATAATCCATCTTTGGTTCTCCTAGTTTACAAGATAACAAAATGGCACACAAGATCATTGGTTTGAGGTAATGCCTCAAAAACTGGAAGAAGTTTTGTTGAAAGGAATAGTCTGTAGGCACAGCAATAAGCTACCGTCAAGCATAAATGTACATCTCTATTCAAGTATGTACAAGCATGTCATTTTTCCAAGTCAAATGGATATTTTTTACTATTTTATGTTTTATCAAATTTTATTATGTTGAAAAGACAGGGTGACCTTTTATGTAGTTTAAAGCTGTGAAGAATATTGCAGATCAGTTTCTTTCATCCATAGGGAAATTTTAATTGGAATTGTTTTAAAGCATTTAAGGAACATCACAGACAATGGGGTAGATTTACTAAAACTGGAGAGTGCAAAATCTGGTGCAGCTGTGCATGGTAGTCAATCAGCTTGCTCAATAAAGCTTTGACAAAAAACTGAAGGCTGATTGGTTTCTATGTAGAGCTGCACATGATTTTGCATGCTCCAATTTTAGTAAATCAACCCCTGTGTCTTGTGTTGCTTATTTTTATTGTGCAAAAGTTGGGAATAATAGCTAAACAGCAGCTGGAGAGGAAACACAAATGTGTGCATTTAGAAACACACTACAGACAAATAAGAAGCATGAAGATCTCTGTATATTACCAAATCACTGCTGTTGACACACTTTAAATAAACACTGATATAGTTTGTAAACCCAGATTTCAATTTCTATGGTAAATAAATTCAGTGAGCTGAAGTGTGCCAGCATAATATCTCCTCCATCCTTCTTATGTTAATGTGCTTTATTCCTTTAAAGCCTCAATATGTCTCCTGGCTCCCAGCCTGTTTTCTTTGTCTCCATCATATCTTTGCATTAATCTACATAATGAAACGACTACAAATAAACATCAAACAGATATATCAAAGCCTGTTCATGGAACCTCTCACATTGCGCGTCTAGCGGCAGACGCCACCTCATGAAAATGCGTGCGTGGCAGCTAAATAAATGTGCAGGTCCTCAGACCATTCTCCTTATTGATATGTTTACTGGCACCTCCTAATATATAATGAGCAACCCTGTTGTAATGTGGAAATGGAACGCAGATGATGTCAATTATTCTGTAGCTCAAACACAGCTGAAAACAAACAGTAATAATTATAGTAATCACATCTTTACTATTTACATAAACATTACAATATTTTCTCACACTTTTACTTTATATAAGAGAACTGTTAAGTGCAATTAAAATGTTGACCAAATTAAGCATTTAAAAAAAAAATTCACAGCTCACTCAGAACTAGAATGAAAAAGTAAAAGTGTCGATATGCAGTTAGATGCTGGAGATCTTGATTGTGAGCCCATATCAGCAAACCATTTCTGCATTGCTACATTTAGGCAAATTAGTCCAGTTCATAATTGTGCGTAGTGTAGGTCACATTTAGTAATCTTATGACCTCACAAATACACTATATTGCCAAAAGTAACTGGACACTCCTCCAAATCATTGGATTCAGGTGTTCCAATCACCTCCACTGCCACAGGTGTACAAAATCAAGCACCTAGGCTTATGCAGGCCATAGATGGGGAGAAAAACGGCAGATTTTTCTTTTAAAAAAAACGAAAATTCAGTCGTTCAAGCGGCCGACGTTACCATCAATGGTAAAAAAAATCGGCCGATTTTCATCCCTTCTACAGCCGGCAAAAATTGTCCCTGCAGAGAGCTCCGCTATTTCTGACAGTTCTCTGACAGTTCCTTCAAATTTACAGCGGTTGAAACATTGTATCTATTTGTTTCCATTTAGGATACAGATGTTTTTATTCGGAAACAAATAGATACATTGTTGCAACCGCTGTAAATGTCAAAGAACTGTCAGAGAACTGTCAGAAATAGCGGAGCTCTCTGCAGATACACTTTTTGCTGGACTGGAATTCTTCTTATTTTCATCCTACTTCTTCTTCTTCTTCTATCTTCATCCTCTTCTTCTTCTTCATCCTCATCCTCTTCTTCATCATCATCCTCATCCCTTCTTCTTCTTCATCATCCTCATCCTCTTCTTCATCCTCATCCTCTTTTTCTTCATCCTCATCCTCCTCCTCTTCTTCTTCTTCTTCTTCTTCTTCCTCATCCTCTTCTTCTTCTTCTTCTTCTTCTTCATCCTCATCCTCTTCTTCTTCATCCTCATCCTCATCCTCTTCTTCTTCTTCTACATCCTCATCCTCTTCTTCTTCTTCTTCCTCATCCTCGTCCTCTTCTTCTTCATCATCCTCTTCTTCATCATCCTTATCCTCCTCTTCTTCTCTTCCTCATCCTCTTCTTCTTCTTCTTCTTCTTCTTCTTCTTCTTCTTCTTCATCATCCTCCTCCTCCCCCCCTCTTCTTCCTCATCCTCATCCTCTTCTTCTTCTTCATCCTCATCCTCTTCTTCATCATCCTCATCCTCTTCTTCTTCATCCTCATCCTCTTCTTCTTCTTCCTCACCCTCATCCTCTTCTTCTTCATCCTCTTCTTCTTCATCCTCCTCATCCTCTTCATCCTCATCCTCTTCTTCTTCTTCTTCATCCTCATCCTCTTCTTCCTCATCCTCATCCTCTTCTTCTTCTCCTCTCTTCTTCTTCATCCTCATCCTCTTCTTCTTCCTCTTCTCTTCCTCATCCTCTTCTTCTTCTCTTCATCCTCTTCTTCTTTCCTCTTCATCCTCTTCTTCATCCTCTTCCTCTTCTTCTTTTTGTCTTCCTCTTGCAGGTCCACTTTACAGCTCATACCGCGCAGATTTTTTTTATCGGCAAAAAATCGGCCGATTTGCCCAGTAATTGCCGCAAAAATCGGCCGAGCTCGGCAAGATCGGCCGATTTTTTTTACCAACTTTTTTACAGAAAAAAAACGGCCAAAAATACCGAAAAAAGAGAACGGCCGACCAAATAATAGCCCACTAATATTAGCGATCCGAAAATCGGTGGCCGATTTTATTTTTCGGCCAAAAAATCGGCCGATTTTTGACCCATCTATGGCCTGCAATACAGGCTACTTCTAGAAACATGTGTGAAAGAATGGGTCGCTCTCAGGAGCTCAGTGAATTCAAGAGTGGTACCGTGATAGGTTGCCACCTGTGCAATAAGTCCATCTGTGAAATTTACTTGCTAATAATATTCTACGGTCAACTTTTAGTGGTATTATAACAAAGTGGAAGCAACTGGGAACAACAGCAACTCAGCCAAGAATTGTTAGTCCAAGTAAAGTGAGAGAACAGCTGAATCGCACAGTCAGCAGAAGTCGCCAACTGCCTGAAGAGTTAATAGCTAAACACCTCCAAACTTCATGTGGCCTTCATATTAGCACAACAACAGTGCATAGGGAGCTTCATGGAATGGGTTTCAATTACCGAGTGGCTGCATCCAAGCCTTACATCACCAAGAGCAATGCAAAGCGTTGGATGCAGTGGTGTAAAGTGCACCACCACTGGACTCTAGAGCAGTGGAGACGTGTTCTCTGGAGTGATGAATCACACTTCTCTGCCTGGCAATCTGATGGACGTGTCTGGGTTTGGCGGTTGCCAGGAGAACGGTACTTGCCTGACTGCATTGTGCCAAGTGTAAAGTTTGGTGGAGGGGTATTATGGTGTGGGGTTGTTTTTCAGGGGTTGGGCTTGGCCCCTTAGTTCCAGTGAAGGGAATTCTTAAGGAGTCAGCATACCAAGACATTTTGGACAATTTTATGCTCCTAACTTTGTAGGAACAGTTTGTGGGTGGCCCCTTCCTGTTCCAACATGATTGCGCACCAGTGTACAAAACAAAGTCCATAAAGACATGGATGAGTGAGTTTGGGATGAATGAACTTGAATGACCTGCACAGAGTCCTGACCTCAACCCTAGAGAACACCTTTGGGATGAATTAGAGTGGAAACTGCAAGCCAGGCCTTCTTGTCCAACATCAGTGGCTGACCTCACAAATGTGATTCTAGAAGAATGGTCAATTATTCCCATAGACACACTCCTAAACCTTGTCGACAGCCTTCCCAGAAGAGTTGAGGCTGCTATAGCTGCAAAGGGTGGGCCAACTCAATATTGAACCCTATGGACTAAGACTGGGATGCCATTAAAGTTCATATGTGTGCCAAGACTTTTGGCAATATAGTGTACATTCTCTGGGATTCTGGTCCACTGGCCACACACTCAATCTCTTAAACCGGTAATAGACAGTTCAAATCTTGGCCGATTCAGCAGGGACTGGCTGAGGTTCGAACCATGTATGGGCAGGCTGAATGTACTCAAGTTGATTGATCAATCAACTTGGGTACAACCATCCAGTCGGATTTTACATGCAGTTATTGCTAGTGGCTATCATGTGGGAGCTGTCGCCGCCAGGAGGACACAGGGATTACTGCTAGCACAATAGCTCCACGGGAGGGATTCCCCCATCAACACTGGCTGTGTTGATGGGGGAATCAAGCAATTTTCTTTCCTGCAACCAGTGGTTGCAGGAAAGAAAGTTTCATAATCTATGGCTGGCTTTAGTGGAAATGATCTGAAAAATTGAAGAATTTCTGTGTCACAGAGAAAATAGATGAATGTTAATTGTGCCTAAGCAGTTCATTGAAAAATTTACCCTTTTTCTGGAATTCCTACTGAAAAATAGTGCACTTCTTGGTATGTGAGTGTACCTAGGCATTCCTCATAGCTGTATATCTGCAGTCTGAGATCTAAGGCACTGCTACCTCTGACTGATTGTCTAGTCTAGTCTCATGAGGTTTAAAGTGAGATTTGGTAACGTAAATACAGTGCTGTTGAGTGTTGCTCTTGCTGGAGACTCTTACAGGAGGAAGCAAAGCCCTGCCTCTACCAAGATGGCTGCCTTCACACAGAGACACAGTGCAGAATATAGCAATTAGTAACGAGAAAAAATCAGTTATGGGAGACCACGGACAATATCATGACTACTCATTTGACCCCTGATAGCCTTTTTTTTAGCACAACTTCCAGAGTTTAGTTCCTCTTTAAATACAAACAGGCAGCCCCTGCAGTAATGAGTGTACTAGTACTGCTGCCTACTACAGATCTACTAATAACTACACATACTTCAAAAATGACTAAATCAACTATATCCACTAGTACAGTCAGTACAACAGATCCTATTCATTCTCTCTGATACTCAAAGCAATTACTGTGGGATAGGAGTATGTGTTTGGAATAGGTACTGAACCCCCCTTCCCCCAACCCCACCTTGATCCCATAACCCCTGTGACAAGTTGGTCACTACTACCATGGCAGTTGTTTCCCTACTGGATGTGGTGACCCGTATCAGTTAGCTGATTGGAAGAAGCTAAAGTCAGGCTTCCCCAATTTCAAGGATTTATACAGTTAAGCTGGACTGAAGTAAAGTGTCACAAGTAGAGAACATTGTAGATATTTTCTTTAATGTGTACACAGGCCAAAGATTTCCTTTTTTTAAAATGGCAATGATTAGTTATCACCCTTCCATCATTTTTATGTTGAGTACACACATTGGTTTTAAGACTAATTACACTCTCAAGGGATACATTAAAGGAGTCGGATCTGCTCTCAGCAAAGTCATTGCTGCCATCTGGCCACAAATACTAGGCAGGAACATTTAAATCATTGTTTAATATATGAGTGTGTTTTCTGACCTCCACTTATTTCCCAACTGCTTCCTAGCAATCACTAACAATGTGTTACTGAAAATCACCTTCAGCCACTGCTAACGACTACAGCAAGCCTCTCTTCTAATAAAGTAAAACAAGCATCCAGCGGCGGTCAATGCGGTGCTAATAAGACTGTCAGCCGATCAGTGTGATCGATCTCCATGTGAGACACTGCCCTCTAGCAGTGAAGTAATGAATTCAAAATGCCTCTAATGAGCAAGAAAGGTTTCCATTCAACTAGGCAGTGACAGGCAGCAGAGCCAGTCAGTGCCCCCATCTATCAGGAAGATAGACTGAAGTCTGCCTCTACTTCTCCAGGCAATTGCTCACAGATCACTAATCATTGATGGGTCACCCTTTTATGGAACCTGTTTTGTTGCATCTCTTATCATTATTTATTAAGGGCAGTACATTTAAATTGTGTTTCAAGTGTTTAAATTTTAATAACATTATAAAAAATGAACATTTACTAAGTCATCGCATAAATGAATGTAATGCTTTTTATCTAAGAGTGCCTGTCATTCTGGGCCCATTCACGCTATTGCAGTATATGTGCCCATTAAGGTGTGCAATGGACATGTATTGTGGTGCGCTGCCAGAAAATGAACCATTTTTAGTGTATTCTGGTGTCTTAATGCAATGCATGTTAATATTCATGCACTAACACACTGCAATCTTGTTAAAGTGAAGCTAAACTTTCTCAATCAACATTAACTATTTTTAATCCTTATGCTACTAGCCTTTGTAAATAGATAGGAACATATACAGTATTTACTTTTTTCTTCAGTTGTTTTTTGGCATCTGACCTAGGCTAAATGATGTCATACATCCCAGGAGTCTTCATGGGCATATTTTTACTTGGAAGTAAAGGCTACATAAATTATCTACTCTCACTCAAGATGGCTGCTGCTAGAAAATCTAGGGGGTGTTTTTCACATTGACAATCTGTCTGCCTCTAGTAATTTGTTAATTCCTACCACAGGAATCTGCTGCTGGCCCCAATCATAGGTGTCAATGGGCCTAAAAGTGGCTTAGTAGCCATGGAAGCACTGTCTTCGGCAGTGGATTAATAGTTCTAATTGCTTACCTATTAAGTCAGGAAAATTAGAGTGGGGCACAAGCAAGGCTTTTACAGATAATAAAAGTAACAGCAAGTATTTTACACAAATGAAAAAAATAGAGTACAGGTATAATCGATATGTTAAGAAACTGGTGAGGCAGGTCCATATTGATTAGGAGTTATACTTTACCTTCATATTCAGGTGGACATACACACTGGTATTCATTAACCAAATCTTTACAAGTTGCTCCATTCTGACACGGGGCTGACAGACACTCGTTGTATTCCTCCTCACAGTACAGACCATGGTATCCTGTGGTAAAGAGTAAAATTCCAAATAAAATTTAGAATTTTTTGGACATTTTTATATATTTTTATACCAGAACAAAGCATAACTCACAATAGGCATTTCTTATCCATAACCAGATAAGCAATTAGATTCTATAATTATTGACTTCAAAGAATATATATGCTTACTTCTAAAAAAACACTGAGACAAAGAGACATAGCTTGCAAGTGGAACAGAATTTAAAAAGAACCTGTCAGAAAAGAAAATATGGTAGCAGACATTGCTGAAACAATCAGAGGGTTAGAGATCACCTGAATGCTGACAGTCAATGGTCTGTCAATGTCCCGACTCACAGACTTGAGATGATTTGCTAAAGGGAGAGGCAACTTTTTGTTCCGGGTCACACAGCGTCCAATTCATGCTTGGCCATTTCCTCTGTGTTGCATCCCAAATGTGGGAGTGCTAATACAATGCAACAGTATGTGGTGTATACTAGCACATTATGTCATTAAAGTGTTACTAAATGCAGGACCCTGCATTCACTATATCTGGTCTTCCACAGTACACAGAATATGGAAATGCAATTATTTTAGTAAATATAAACTGCTAATTTCCTTTTCTCATCAGCAGTATATAGCGGTCTTGTGACTTCTATCAGTGACCAGCAGAGCACGGGTTAAAGCTTGTAGGAGGAGTTTTCTTTCTCCCCTGATTGTCTTATGAGGCTGCATGACCCCTGCCCTCTGTCTGGACAGTGCTGATTGTCCCTGTGCTGATCACATGCACTCTCCCAAGAAAAAAAAAACTTCTTTAGCAATACACACCAAACTGAGCATATGCAGCTTGCCCCCAAGGCTCTGTTCTATCAGCAGATGGATTGAGGACTGTGCAAGAAGGGGACAATCAGGGAAGACAGGATCAAACTTTTTTTTACACAATGCAGACTGCTTTTACTGTTGTGGGTTTAGTAACACTTTAACTTGCGGGGGGTTACTTTAAAAAAAATAATAAAAAATAAGACCACTATTGTATCACGTCAAAATGTACACTTTTATATGTCATTTTTATTTTCTAGAGAACATCATTATTTATCATTACTTTCAAACCAGAGACAGCGGGGCAATTAGCACTTTCAGAAAGAGGTCAGCAATGGTTCATTCAAGGCATGTTTTCTTCCAGTTGGGGACACCTACATTTCCTGCATGTAATATGAAAATATCTCTCATGGCCACTAGATGGAACAAGCCCTATAAATTCCCATTCTTTCACACTCTCTGCCAGAGACAGAACCATAAGAAACATCTTTGAAAGCACAAAAGACAGACCTGGTATTGTTTCCTTTTTTGTCTGAAAATGGCAGCCTCCACAATACAGATAAGTTGCACTTTTGTGAGCGATAAAGTAACAGCACAGCTATGCAGCCAATGAATGTTAATATTGGGGTCCTGCTTCTTACGAGGCTGAGCCCCTAGAATGTAAGCGAGCCTTTCTACTAATCCATCCTGCTTAACATTCTTCTCATGAGCAAATCTGCAAACCAGCACAAAGCCTGTGACCCAGCGTGGTGCTAACCGAGCAACCTTTCCTACCAAAGGCTGTATGAGAGAGCCACAAAACCCAATCGCTAGCAACAGCAGGGGTTAAATGACTAGCGACTGTATGGAAATGTTGAATACTGGTAAGGACAATCCATTCCTGATGGAGACGATTCTGAAAGGTTACACTGCAAGGTGAAGGTACAATGTCACATTTGAGCAGGGTCTCCGAGCCACTATTATGTGATTTCTTGTGACATCATCTCTTAGACCACACAACTCTCTCTCTGCAATTACGGTCCCTGTAATATCAGGGACTGACCTGAACTTCTAATAGTACGGACATCAGATTGTCATTTTGTACAAATAATATTATTTGCATGCTGGAAGCAGCCAAATCAGTCATCAAATCAGATTATGCCTTCTGATTTTGGCTGGGCCATACACAATTTCAAAGTCCATGTTTCTGACCATGTTTCATGTTGCACCCATATCTAGCCACAATCAGATTCAGTATAGTAATGTCACAAAGCACCATTGTGTCTACTGCTTGGTGTCTACTGACCAGGAATTTGCCTTTCAAATGACTGGACAATTGGAGTGAACAGTCACATCATTTTAGGAGGGAAGGTTCTGCCCAAATATCTGGTAGCTTTTAGAATTGGTGCTTTCGTTATCAAGATCCTGGATTCTAAGCTGAGCTAGACCTTGTTGCCTTGTAGTCTGTATGTTCATTCCACCTTTGGATGCTTTTACTTAATGTGGTTGTAAACACTTCCATATACCCAGTGAAGTGACTGTCCTCAGGTGATACACAGAGATGAAACAAATCCTCCTACATAAGTTGTACCTGTCTCTGCAGACTTCTCTTTTCTACAGCTGTTCAAAGTACAGAATTTATAGAGCTTGCCTGAGCTGTCAGAAAAAAGGTGGAGAGCTGAAAATACACTCTGCAGAGCTCAGTGAGAACAGCTCTGAGAGTTCATTGGAGGGAAGAGACACATCCCCTTTCACACAATTCCCTTCACAGGAACAGGGGTGAGGATGTCAATCAGTTGGATGTCCCTCCCTTGTCACTTTTTCTCTTGGTGTCAGGAAAACTCGTAAGAAGTGATTCATGCAGGCAAGGCTGTCTTAATGCATGGGCACCCCTGGGCACTACCCAGGAGCCCCAGATGCTTTTACATCATACTTGCCAACTGTCCCGCAATTGCCAGGTCCCAGTATTGTGCCTTCCTGACTCCCCCTGTACTGTGCCCTTCTGCCCCCCCCCCCCCCACCTTCCTGTATTCTGTCCTTTGTGTTGATTAGTCTGTGATTTATGGCATGTTTCCTTATTTCCTTATTGTCTAAAATCCATTTTATTGAAAGTACAAATAAATATACACTATATTGTCAAAAGTATTGGAAGACCCTTCCAAATCATTGGATTCAGGTGTTCCAATCACCTCCATGGCCACAGGTGTATAAAATCAAGCATCTAGGCATGCAGACTACTTCTACAAACATTTGCGAAAGAATGGGTCGCTCTCAGGAGCTCAGTGAATTCAAGTGTGATACCATGATAGGTTGCCACCTGTGTAATAAGTCCATCTGTGAAATTTCCTTGCCAATAAATATTCCACAGTCAACTGTTAGTGGTATTGTAACAAAGTGGAAGCAACTGGGAACAACAGCAACTCAGCCACAAAGTGGTAGGCCACATAAAATGACAGAACGGGGTCAGTGCATGTTGAAGCGCACAGTGCGCAGAAGTGGCCAACTGTCTGCAGAGTCAATAGCTAAAGACCTCCAAACTTCATGTGGCCTTTTGGATTAGCACAACAACAGTGTGTAGAGAGCTTCATGGAATGGGTATCCATGGCCAAGCAGCTGCATCCAAGCCTTACATCACAAAGTGCAATGCAAAGCGTCGGATGCCGTGGTGTAAAGCACGCCGCCACTGGACTCTAGAGCAGTGGATACATGTTCTCTGAAGTGACGAATCACCCTTCTCTGTCTGGAAATCAAATGGATGTGTCTGGGTTTGGCTGTTGTCAGGATAATGGTAATTGCCTGACTTAATTGTGCCAAGTGTAAAGTTTGGTCGTGGGGGGGGGGGGGGGGTAAAGGTGTGGTGTTGTTCTTCAGGGGTTTGGCTTGGCCCTTTAGTTCCAGTGAAGGGAACTCTTAAGGCGTCAGCATACCAAGACATTTTGGACAAGTTTCATGCTCCCAACTTTGTGGGAACAGTTTGGGGATGGCCCCTCCTTGTTCCAACATGACTGCGCACCAGTGCACAAAGCAAGGTCCATAAAGACATGGATGAGCAAGTTTGGGGTGGAGGAACTTGACTGGCCTGCACAGAGTCTTGACCTCAACCCAATAGAACACCTTTGGGATGAATTGTGATCCAGGCCTTCTCGTCCGACATCAGTGCCTGACCTCACAAATACTCTTCTGGAAGAATGGTCAAACATTCCCATAGACACACTCCTAAACCTTGTGGACAGCCTTCCGAGAAGAGTTGAAGCTGTTATAGCGGGAAAGGTTGGACCAACTCAATATTGAACCCTACGGACTAAGACTGGGATGCCATTAAGGTTCATGTGTGTGTAAAGGCAGGCATCCCAATACTTTTGGCAATATAGTGTTTAGTGTTTAATCCTATCAACTATTTATACTTTAATTCTTGAAAATAGGTGCATAAGTTGAGGCAGGGTGGTAGGGGCCCCAATACTTTACTTTGCCCAGGGGCCCATGATGTTATTGAGACGGCCCTGCATGCAGATAGAGCTTGGTGCTCTTAATTGAGACAAGTGCACACTATAGAGGGATACGATTTATTCAGATTTCATGAGGTTTACAACTACTTTAACTGGCTTCCTCACAAATTAAATTCAATGTGTAAGATATGCTACCGGGTCTTTGGTTTGCAAGTTCCACTAAAGAAAGAACTAAGAGTTGCCCAATTTCCCTCACTTTCATTAAAACATTGTTAAACAAACATGTATTATATTGCAGATTACCAATTCTAAGATGTGATGGATGCCTTAGTTTAAATTTTTTGGTGTTTTTACTCTTAGTTTCACCCTGTGATCCAGCAAAGTCTGTTATTTTTCAACTTTTTCACAGGGGCAGCTGGGGCCAGTAAAAACTGACGGATGAGCCAATGTTTTACTGCTCCTGGGTCACCCACCAAATTCTAACATTACAAAGGGACAGGGCTGTATACATGCTGCAGGCACAATGCTTTGCTTCACAGCAATTTTAACTCCACCTGTCAAACTTTCTCATTGAGGTTAATGGAAGCAGTATTTTAATATAAAACATTTTTTGGGATTGAAAAAAAAAAGAAAAACATTCAGGAGAAGGCAGGATTGCCTCCTGAGTGGCTGCCAGCTGCTGCTATACCACCCTATGAAAAGTTAACCACCACGGATCACTTTTCAGAGGGTGGTATGCACTGCCGCCAATGTCAGAGAGCCTTAAGTGGTTGGGACAAATCAC